ATATATATATACAATATTATGCTTTAATTTGACTTTCTGGAAGGATTTATATGAAATATTAATACAAGTTGTTTTAGAAATAAGGAACTGAAAGAAATCAATGAACAAAAGGAACGCTCACCTTTTATGTCATACTATTCTGTATTATTTAAATGTTACTTTTATCATGAGCATGCTTCATAGCTTTATTTTTAAAACTTAGGAACTTCATAATTTTTAAGACCTTCTGAACATAAAACAGCCTCCCCATATAAATATTCATTTTTTTATACATTAAACTTTCGGGAATTCTTTTAAGAATATATTTGGTACAAAAGTACGAATGCCCATATATGCATCCTGGAAAAACTGGCTTAAAATGAACACTTGAGGGACCAGCAGATAGCATAATGTTTTATCGCTGGACTCCCATGTGACTGACCATGGTTTGAGTCTGGGGCCAGCGGCTTAAAACTCATGCCCGGCATGTGTGTGTGCGTTCCAGAGATGCGGAGAGAATGGAGGAGAAGGGATTGCTGTGTGGCCATCCCTCCCCCCGGGGGGAGGGGTGATTTTTTGCTTTCTGTCTTTCCAATAAGTGCATGTGTCCTATAGCAAAAAAACTCTTTAAAAATAATGAAATGGACACTTAAAACTGTATTTTTCTAGTGACCATAACTGTCAAACAAAATGGGAACACAAAACTGGAAGACAATAAAGAGGGTAACAAATAACTCATCACCACTGGGCAGCAACTTTCCCTAATGTGACCAAACATAATCACCTTGGGGCAATTACAAATCAGCTCATTAGATGGTATGAAGTCTGGGACTCGGTTCAAAATAAGTATGGGTGGAGGGGCAGCAGGAGGAGTGAAGAAGTAGATACAAGAGTGGCCACCAATGGGTTCCTGTTGAAGATGAGTGAGAGATATGCTCATTGCTTTACTTTGGTATAGATTTGAAATTTTCCATAATATAAAGTTTAAGTAATGATGGTAATACAGATCCTTCTGCCTACTGTATGAAGAGCAACGGTAGAAACAGGAGGAATAAGTGATCCATTTCAATAATCCCATGAAAAAAATGCTCACAATGTGGTTAGAGGTATGGACACTCAGGATCCATGAAACAAAAGGATTTCCACATGGATTGGGGGGTGGGGTGAGAGAAAGAGGAGCACTGGGTAACTGGAGATCTACCTCACGAGAAGTGTCACATTTTGAGTTCTTCAAGCAGTTGAAAGGAGACTGGTGAAATCACTAAGAAAATTTAAGATAGTTACTAATTTTTTTTTAAAGAGATTTTTGCTGTAGGGCATGTGTACTTGCCAGAGAGACAGAAAACAAGAAATCACCCCCTGGGGGAATGGCCATGCCACAATCCCTTCTTTATTCCCCTCTCAGGATTTTGGGCATGCACACACACGTGCCAATGTGAGTTTTAAGCCGCCAGGTCTGGGACTTGAACCACAGTTGACCACATGGGAGTCCAGCGATGTAACCATTCACCATCTGCTGGTCCCAAGAAAATTTAAGATAGCTTTAATAGGAATTTCTTTTGAGGAATTCTCAAAATTTCATAATTTCAAATACAACAATTTACGTTAAAACACAGAATACAATTACAGCCCTGGCAACACCACCTGATGAATCATTCATTCTTTTCAAACTGCTGGAGGAAAGAATTCTTAACCAGTCTCTGGTCCAATAGCCACAATTAACTTTAAATGTAAATTGGTTTCATCTACAAATGCCCTTCACAAGAAAACCATTAAAATCTAAGATACCGTTTAGAGTCAACCCTGGCACCATTAAATAATCTGTCAGCGGGTAGAGTCTGACCTGACACAACCCTTCAACATTAATCAGATTTCTCCCAGAATAGATCATAACCTTTCAGGCACCTGTTGGCTTTTAGTGTGGGCAAAGGATCCCAGGCAAAACTCCACTGGCCAAATCTTTAGGAGAAAAAGAAATTCAAAAGCAAATGAACTTTTTAAGCAAGCTATGGGGGAAAAGCTCAAGTATACAACTGTAATTAAGAACAAGTTATATAATGGGAAGAGTTGTATTTGGGATTAGTATCAGGCTAAAACCAGAATAACCTACCATGAGTATAACTTAAAACCTAGTATTATTCATATTATTAGGTGGTTATTTCTACACAAAAGTTAATACAGCACCTCTTGTGTAAGCAAAAGCTTCAGACCACAAAGAACAAAAACACCTTTCAAGCAGTGGAACTGATCCAGATATAAAGGGAAGTGTCTTTCAGAATACATTTCAAAGGTAAAGAAAAAATTGTTAAAGGAGACCTTGCTAAGATCTCAAAGATGTCAGCACAAGGGACGAGAATATTCCTAAGGCAAATGGAGGCCACAGGAAAATACTACTCTGGGCACAATACTATGAAATCAGCAGGCTGAAACAGCCTACCTCTGAGAGTCTCATTTGCTAGCAGGGGGCTAGACCGCTCACAGGAATTAATCAATAGCTCCCTTAAATGCTTCCATGGGAGAGTTGACAGTGGGTAGCTGGGTCAGCCCCAGTGGCACACCCTGCTAAAATACAGCTACTCTGAGGCCACATGGGAGGCCTAGGTTCAGTTCAGCCCAATCTAAGCAGGCATGAGCCTACAGTCCTAAAAGG